ATACCACTTAATCTTTAGGACTAGTTTGATAGTATACAATAGGTTTATTTCTAATTATGTTCTTAAAATATGTAAAATTTGGGAATTCAGCAGATACCAGTAAGTAAAATATAATAGGCCTAAGAAGGAAGAATACAGTTGAGGCAAATACAAATTTTGGCAGTCAGACCTTTACTAGACTTTTGCATTTCTGAGTACCAGTATCCTCCCTTGCATAGAACCTGTATGAAATCATTCTTTCAGGTCTAGTCAGATTCCTTTTTCAGATTTCTATTAACTGAAGACAACAGAGTGCATCCAAGATGCCTTTCTGAACTGAAACTGTTCGACAACAAAAAGATGGACTCTTCTGGGTTTCCTTCCTAGGTCACTGGGCAGCCTTTTTCACCAGGAATTACGGAAACCTTGCCCAGAACCAGTTTTGTTTCTTTCTAGTCACACAGGTTCACTTTTCTGTCTTGTTCTGCTTTCCTAACCATGTTGCTCAGCAGCCCCTGACCATCTAGTGTCTTGGTGGAAAAGGGATTCATTGTTTTTAATGAAGGTGTGCTGTGTGACAGAATAGCCATATCTGCAAGGTGGTGCCCCAGTGTGGCAAATCTCTACCCTTAGTATGGTTACTGAGTAGAAGTCTCTTCAGTTCAAACAGTATTCTTGCATTTAATGTACTCAAAGTACTGGAAGGAGGGAGGGAGAAGAGAAAGGCATGGGGTAAGGGCTGACAAGGAAGCTCCCTTTAGTTTTGAGAGCAGTCTGTGTGTGACTAGAGACACCTCCATCAGTCAAGTGTATGCACCTGCTTTCTGCCCTAAAGCTGCTCTGAAGATATCTGCTTGGCAGATTGTGTTAATACCCAGTGGACATGTTCTTTTTCATTGTCTTGGTTACAGCTGCTTGCATAATTCAAGTTTCTTTTCTTTGTTTCTGTATTTTCTGAATCACCATAATCTTTTATTCCCTTCCCCATTAGTTGCGTTATGGTTCTTATTTTATTCTAATCTTTCCTCACAATAAACCCTCCTTCCCCCAACTAAATACTCCCTTCTTAACACATAAATGATTAACAAATTCTTCCAAAGGATGGTGGATAAGGATAGGGAATTGAGTTGTAGGTATAGAGTACATGCTGCCATTTTGTTTTATGGGGTTCCTAAGATTTATGTCCATATTCCTTATCCTGTAAGGAAATCTGGAGATTTCGAAGCCCAGCCTTGTCTACAGTGGGCTTCATGGAGAAATGAAAGTGAGTGATTCAGGAAAAGGAAGAGTAGGAGTAAATGGGCATTTCTGGTTCTTTTATTCCTCCTATTTGAAAGCCTTGAAGGTGATAGGAGGGCACTTAAAGAACCTTTTATCAAGCAACGTTCGCATTTTTAAAATGTGCCTCAGAGGATGTTGTATTATGTCCAGGGTTTGCTTTTAGTAATTCCAACTTGCTCTGTAGACCATATTGCGCAAAGACTTAGCATTTTAAGTTTATAATAAGAAGACAAACCAGACTAGTTTTCTTTGGATGCTTTCTGTGAAAGCAGTCAGGTGCCATGGTTCTTACAATCCTTTCTTTTTACCCTCTGTGTTTCACTTTTGTCCTTCCTTTGGCTTTTCTTTTGGGTGTGTACCTTATTCTATCTTGTTTTTCAATTGTTTCCTTTCAAAGTTTCCTTTTCAAATTCTGTCACTTAAAATAGTTTATAAACATGAAGTATTCTTGGTCCTTTTTTTTTTTTTCAGTTATGCCCCACACAAAAGATATAGTACAAAACGTCTGGTAAATTTTGTTCAGGACAAAAACATCACTTTCTCACTGCAATTCATGTTTTATTGTACCATCACCATTTTTTTTATCTCCCTTTTCTCATTTCAGCCAATTTACCCCAGGACAAGAATGGGTAGAAGCTCAGTAACTGGGGTGGAGAGGTAGTAGGAGGGCTGAGGAGCTGGCCGTCAGAAAGGAGGAAAGCAACAGTGTCAGGTTGTTGCCATTGCCTTTGTAATACTGGCCACAGTGGGATTATTCACATCCAGTTTGACAGTGTTTAGTGGTCTCACCCCAGTGCGTGACTTAGACAACCACTGGAACATATTCAGTTTAATGCTACAAGTGTTCATTGAACTCTGTCCAAAACACTCCCCAGGGCAAGAGAAGACACAAATGTATTCCTGCCCTTCAAAAAGTTTGGGGAATTGTAAGTAGTTCCATTAGGTATAACAAGTAATGAGAGACGAGAAAAGTAGTTTGAAGCTGGTATGGTAAGGGACTCTGAATGTCAGGCTAGGGGAATTTGGACTTGGGAGTATTGGGGTGCCAGTGAAGATGTTTACAGGAGGTAATGACATGATCAGAGCTATACTTTAGAAAGATGAAGCTTGAAGGAAAAAGAGATTGAAGGCATAGGAATTAGTTGAAGTTGATGACAAAGTTCACAGAGCAAGTCATGAGGACCTGACTGAACAATGATACAGCAGGAGAACGAAGAGGCTGGGAGATGTAGACCATTTCAGAGGAGAAGTCAGCAGGTGCTACCAGAGCATGACAGGGAGTTTGAGAGGGGATAGTAAGAAGCTCGCTAAGCAGCGTTGCAGATGTATTATAAACCAAAAAAAACTAAACCCGTTGCTGTCGATTCCGACTCATAGCGACCCTTTCGGGCAGAGTAGAACTGCCTCATAGAGTTTCCAGGGAGCATCTGGTGGATTCTAACTGCTGACCTTTTGGTTAGCAGATACAGCTCTTAACCACTACGCTACCAGGGTTTCCAGATGTATTATAAGTCGTCTTGAATTTTGTAGTAACCTGGCCAGGAGAGTTTTATGGAGCATTTGACAGCCTAGGAACAGAGAAGTGGGACATTTCCCTGGAACATAAATTGACGAAGAGGGATTTGATAATGGTCAAGAGAATGAAGGATTTTAGAGTCTTGCATAGTATTCTCACATTTCATTTTATCCACTCAAACACACACACATTCTTGTTTTTTCTCACTGAAGACACTAGATGGAAAAAATGTAAGTTCATTAAAAGTATACCATTAAGAAACAAAACACTAGATGAATTGGTTAATAGGATGAGGTTGGTGATGGGGAACAGATCAGTTGTCATTAAAGTTAACAGATGCCAGTGTTTAACAAAAGCCATGTTTCAATGGGACTTTCATAAGGACCTTGTTTAATGTAAAGTACTATTTTAGATTAGCTTATTGGTATTGGTTGGCAGACAGCAAAACAGGAAATGAGAATCTCTATAGCAAATAGCTAACATTGAGTGCTTATGATGTGATGAACACTGTTCTAAACCCTTTATATGTATTAACTAAATCCTGTCAACAACCCTAAAGTAGATACTATTCTGCCTATTTTACAGATAAGGAAACTGAGACAGTTTCATTTGCTCAAGGTCACAGTAAAGTGGCAGAGTAGAGACTCCAGAACCCACCAGTTTAATCACTGTACCAGTGGTGCTTAAGCTAGGCTGCACATTGGAATCATCTGGGAAGTTTTTAACACCAAATATGGATCCTTAATCCCTACCTAAGACCAGTTACATCAGAATGGTTGGGATTGGGTCCAGGCACAGATGTATTCTAAAGTGCCCCAAGTGATTTTCTGGGGCTGTCAGGGTTGGGAACCACCGCACTGCACTGGACTGCCTTTCTGAAAATTCTCTGCATTTAGTGTGTGATTTGTTCTCCGCATTAAGCATGGAGACAGTACCAAAGGTGTATAAAAGAGTTTCTGTCCTTAGGAAATTTAGTTGTGGGGCAGGAACTATAGAAGAAAATAACAGCATTTAAGGTAGCTTAAGTCAGGTACTATCTTGGAATTCAGAGGAGGAACATCTTTAGATCCGGGGAGTTGGGCAAAACAGTGGAGTGAATGTTTGTTGAGGATGAGATCTGGCCTAGGTTCTGTGCTAATCAAAATATATATACATGTTCTCTAAGCCTCCAGATAACCCTGAGAGTTTGATGTTATTGCAGTTTTATAAATGAGTTAACTGGCTCAGAAGTTAAATGTCTTGTCCCAGGTCTCACCACTAATCTGTGGTAGAAGTGGCTTACAGACCAAATCTCTGATGCACGTGCTTTTCCACCATTGCATGCTGCCAGAAGAGAGCCAGGAAGGTGTGGGCCTCGAACTGGGCCTGCACAGAAGGAAAATCATCTTTAACAATGGATAGAGTGGGTAGAGTTGGAAGTGAGAAGGGTGTTAAGTAGGACAAAGTATGAAAGGGGAACAGGAAAAGATATTGTAATGGTAGATTGGGGGCATAAGAGGGAGTTTGGATTGTCTTTTACCTGCCTTTTTTTAAGTGTTATGTGACATGTACGAATTATTTTTGGAATATCAATTTTTTTATTACATTAACAGAAGAAGGGAAATTATTTGGGAGATGACTTAAATAATCCAAATGAATGCCTCGACAGTGTGGTGCCAGTAGGACTATAAAAGGATGGGCCAGTGTTGAAGACATGGAGGAAAAACTGACTGAATTTGAAGTCAGAAAAAAAGATAAATTATACCATTTCAAAATAAAATAAGAACAGCTGCTTTTCCCCCTCAAAATGAGTGGGTACAGACAGCCGAATCAGCATGTTCCTCTTGAGATCCAGTGGGAAAGAAAAGGGTGTCTTAGCCAAAGTAGTGATTAATTTCTCACCTCTCTAGGTACACAATGATTATTGAGAAGGAAGTAGCATGTTCCAAAAGTAATGGATCCTTTCTCATCGGAATATACTAGAAGGGCAGACTTCTACTGTAGGTGCTGCAGCAGCAGCTAAGGCCTAGTGCAGGGCCCGTTGTCTCAGGTGACCTGCTGAGAGGTCCCTCATTGCCTCCCTTTCCTCAGGGCCAGCTGGGAGGGTCACCAGGGGTCTCAGGCCTGATAAACCAGGCACATCCAGGGCAACAAGACAATTAGGGCACCCAAGCTAAATTATCTCAGCAGTCAATCACATACTTAAAAACAAAGGGTTGTTGTTAGCATTAAATGAGTTAATGTACTTAGGACAGTGCCTGACACAGCTGTGAATGCTGTATTAGAATTGGCCATTATAATGATTATTAAATTTCAAACATCATGGTGCTTATATTCAAGCTACTATATAAAAGTTGTGTCAACTAGCTTCTTCTATTTTAGGGGACAGTGATGGTAAAAGACAGTCTCATTACATAATGTTACCTATTAGGAAGGCCCTAGATCATAGTCCAAGGAGGTTTTTTTTTCCAGGGGCTCAGACTAAGACACTTAGGGGTGGGATAATAGAGAATGGGGACCTAAGGATGATACCAAAATCTTGAGTCTGGGTAACTAAATATGGTTCCACTTACAAATAGAAAAGCTGGCTTTAAGGAGAGATTTTAAGCGGAAGAGTTTTAAAGGAGTGGATAGAAGCAGAATTTTTTAAAATTTAATAGCTTTTTTGAGGTACAATTTACATACCATAAAATTCACCCATGTTCATTAAATAATTTAATGATTTTTTAGTAAATTTACAGAGTTGTGCAACTATTACCACAATCCACTTAGAGAACATTTCCATCATCCTAAAAAGATCCTTGTATCCATTTTCAGTCATTCCTGTTCCAACCCCCAGTCTGTTCTATTGGTTTTTTGAAAGTAATTATTCAAAGTAATTTTTCTTTTGCAGGATGGCATAGTGAATCCAACAATAAGAAAAGATTTGAAAACTACACCAAAATTCTACTGTTGTCCAATTGAAGGATGCCCCAGAGGCCCTGACAGACCATTTTCTCAGTTTTCTCTTGTAAAACAGGTATTTTATCTTAAGTATACTTCCCTGAGGATAAAATGCAGATGATATAACCCAAATGTGTAGTCTCATTGCTTAGACCAAACATGACTAGAGAATTCAGCAGAAAGCTGTGAGAGCAGAGGCCCAGTGTCTCCTAGTTGGGGAAAGAGTAAGTGTGCATATAATGACAGTGGAAGGAAACGCAGTTTGATCTGGAGATGAAGGTGTCCAGAAGTGGGTTCTTAGATAAGGATAAGTAGACCAATTTGGCCAAGAATAGACCTGTGTGCTTGGGGGTCTGTGTGAATGTTTGCACACATGCAGGAGGGCATACATGTAGAAGGTGCAAAGGAAATGCCCTCCCATACGGAGTAAGAAGGATGGGGAGGTGGGGAATTACAACAGGAAGTATCTGAAGAAAAGGAGGGGCCCAGGGATGACTCAGGACTGGAAGAGGTTGTCAACTGTTTCCCCAAGGGTTTGCTGGAGGGTGTCATGGGAAAAGTATCACAAAGATATTTTTCCTGCTGACAGCACTTATTTGTAGCTGAAACCTAAATACTGGGCACCAAGGATCATTTCCAAAACGATCTCCTCACATGTAACAAAGCAAAAGTGACGATGTGAAGAGGTATATGCCATTTGCTTTCTTTTAAATTCTTTTGCTTTGGACTGCATATTTTATACATCTAAAGACATTTTTAATGTAGGTATGTTGATGGTTTTTTTAAATGTTTTGAGCAGCTTCTGTTTTTCATTTTAGTCACTTTTGGTTCTTCTAGCACTTTATGAAAATGCATGCTGAGAAGAAGCATAAGTGTAGTAAGTGCAGCAATTCCTATGGCACCGAGTGGGACTTGAAAAGACACGCAGAGGACTGCGGCAAGACCTTCCAGTGCACGTGTGGCTGTCCGTACGCCAGCAGAACGGCACTGCAGTCACACATCTACCGGACTGGCCATGAGATCCCTGCAGAGCACAGGTGACAGTGAAGGAAGTGGCTGCCAAAGAGTCGATGGCTGAGGGAGGAGTTTCAAATGAAACTCCCTGAAGAGCCATTTTTGTGGAGAGAGAGAAGGAACAATGGAGAAAATATGTAACACAGAAGAAGGGAACTTTTTGAAGTGGCAGCAGTACTAGCAAAGGACCCACATCTGGGCCAGTAATTTTGATCCAGTTGTTCTTATTCTTTCTGCCAACCCCTTTTGAGGTTCCCCTATGATTCCTATTTGAAAATCTCAACTTTCAGCATTTTCTAGATATCAGATTGTTAAAGAATAAGTTTTATTATGAAACTGTACTTCATTTTAAAGGTCAAATTTATATTCGGTATATTATCTTCCTACTTTAGAAATGATGGAAGTTCCATTACATAATCAGTTAGCTTCCTTATATTTACAGATCTGAGTTGAGTTCTAATACTTAGAGCTTAAAAAAAAAAAAGCATGCTTCCTCCTTCTCTGTTTGCATGTTTCTGAACCTCCATCTCCTATAATAGGCCCAATTCTAAAGAGCTGTAAAAGAAGGGATTTATCTTCTCTGCCTCAATTCTGACCTTTGCTATAGATGTGGGACATAGTGTTTGTGAATAAATGAAGATCCAGTGCCATGGTTGAAGACAACTGCATTTTAACATTTTCTTTTTACTCTCATTGTTTTCAGGGATCCACCTAGTAAGAAAAGGAAAATGGAAAATTCCATGCACAGCCAGAAGTTGTCCAGTAAGACCACTGAATCATTGATCAGTAAGCCAAACCCTAGACCAGACACTCAAGAACTAGAAACTTCAGAAATAAAACTAGTAGCTTCTTTTGAAGACTCTTGCAGCTCTAATGCCAGAAAACAGACTCTTACAACACCTCCAAGATATCCTCAGAAGTTGCTTCTACCAAAGCCCAAGGTCGCTTTGGTTAAACTACCTGTTATGCAGTTGTCTCCTATGCCTGTCTTTGTGCCTACAGCTGACTCCTCGGCCCAGCCTGTGGTGGTAGGTGTCGATCACCAGGGTTCTGCCACAGGTGCTGTGCACTTACTTCCCTTGTCAATAGGAACCCTGGTTCTCGGCCTAGATTCAGAGGCTTGCTCTCTTAAGGAGAGCCTTCCTTTTTCAAAAATTGTAAATCCTGTTGCTGTTGAGCCAATTAGTACAGGTGTTCAGGTGAACCTGGGTAAAAGTCCATCTAATACTTTACAAGAACTAGGGAATACATGTCAAAAGAACAGCATTTCTTCAATCAATGTACAGACAGATCTGTCTTATGCCTCACAAAACTTTATGCCTTCTGCACAGTGGGCTCCCCCAGATTCCTCTGTATCATCTTGCTCTCAAACGGACTTGACGTTTGGTTCTCAAGTTTCACTTCCCATTAGTGTTCATACTCAGACATTTTTGCCCAGTTCTAAGGTAACTTCATCTATAGCCGCACAGACCGATGCCTTTATAGATGCTTGTTTCCAGTCCAGTGGAATTTCCAGAGAAACCCAGACCAGTGGAATGCCGAGTTCTGCAGACAACCGAGTACAGATGGACCAAGCTGTAATGTGTGGAGACATTTTTGAGAGTGTCCATTCATCATACAGTGTTTCCACAGACCATATTATAAGCAACAGTTTAGTAGCAGACACTGTAACTCATGGTTTGTTACCTCAGAACAACCCAAAGACTCTAAATCAAGATATGGAGAAATCTGCACCAGTTATAAACTTCAATGCACAGAATAGTATGCTTCCTTCACAAAACATGACAGATAATCAGACCCAAACCATAGACCTATTAAGTGACCTAGAAAATATCCTGTCAAGTAATCTGCCTGGTCAAACATTAGATAACCGTAGTCTCTTGTCTGACGCTAATACTGGACCTGACACACAGCTCCCATCTGGCGCAACCCAGAATCCGGGAATCGATTTTGATATTGAAGAGTTTTTTTCGGCCTCAAATATCCAAACTCAAACTGAAGAGAGTGAACTTAGTAACATGAACACTGAGCCAGTCTTAGAATCACTGGACATAGAGACCCAAACAGACTTTTTACTTGCAGATACCTCTGCTCAGTCCTACACCTGTAGGGAGAATTCAAACTTCTTAGGCCTTGAAATGTTTGATACGCAGACACAGACAGACTTAAACTTCTTTTTAGACAGTAACCCTCATCTGCCTCTGGGAAGTATTCTGAAACACTCCAGCTTTTCAGTGAGTACTGATTCATCTGACACAGAAACCCAGACAGAAGGAATCTCCACTGCTAAAAACATACCTGCTTTAGAAAGCAGAGTGCAGTTGAATAGTACAGAAACCCAGACCATGAGCACTGGTTTTGAAACGTTGGGGAGTTTGTTCTTCACCAGCAATGAAACTCAAACAGCAATGGATGACTTTCTTCTAGCCGATTTGGCCTGGAACACAATGGAGTCTCAGTTCAGTTCTGTAGAAACCCAGACGTGTGCGGAACTACACACAGTCTCCAACTTCTGAGAGTGGAGTCCCCACGTGGGGTGGGATTTACAATTTCCTCCTGGATTTAGAAAATGGGGAATGGGGACAACAGTATTAGTTGATTATGCAGTTGCTTAGATTCTTTGCCTTCTGTACTTGTAAACATGAATTTATATATAAATGTAAGTGTATTATAAAGTGTAAGATGTTGATTTAAAAGTGATTTTTTTGTGTGTTGCCTAGCATTGCTCCTTCACAGTTGGTCTTTCCATCATTAAAAAAAAAAAAAAGTATTTCACACCTTTAGAAACAATATATAGCCATTTAGCTGAAGCCAAGCTTACCAGGTAATAGGGTACAAACTTTTCAAATCTTCAAAACGTTTTAGTTGAAGTGTAACTTAAATTGTACCTAAAATATCTTTTCGACAGTGCTTGTTAGAAATTCCTGTTTCCTGATAATATCTAACATAGATTTAAACAACAGCGCTCAATGTGGTTTGAGACTCATGCCGCTTGCAGCTTCATCTGCTTTAACATGTCCATCTTTTCTGATTCGAAGACACAAAGGAAAACTACAGCTGTCTTTAACTTTTGAAATAGTGTTCATGTAGTCGATGCCATCTGTACTCTAGGTGAACTATGATTGATACCAATATAAGTGTATAGTACTTTCTTCACAAGAGGTTTGTGGCTGTAAAATTACCATTTCAAGACCCTATTATTTTCTGCTTTGATTTTTTTTTTTTTGATACCATGTGTTTTCATTAATGGAAACATGCTGAGTCATGGAGTGTGTTTAAATTTTTTGGTTGGTAATATGGATTCTGAGAAATACTTGGGAATACATGGGTCCTACAAACCTCGAGGGGTTCTCGGGCACCAGGATTGGTGGGTGCCCATCTGTCCCACTGGTTATGGCTGGTAGGATTTTTTGTGATTAAAAAAACAAACCAAACCTACCAGGGCTCCCTAACTACCACAAGGAAACCATAAATATGCTTACAAGTTTTATCTAGCTGTACAAAAGCCAAAAGAGAAAAAATTTTTACCCAATCACACTTCTTGGATGGACTACCTCACATTTAAGGCCGATAACCCAACTATTTTCCTTCAGTGAACATTTCTTTCACTGTTATGCAAGTCCCCACTGGAGGGCAGCAAATTCTTTTAGCAGGAAAAGTAGAGTCCCAAGAAATCAGAGAGTCAGAAAAAGTAGGTGGGATATCATGTGTCCCACAGGTCATGAAAGGGTTAAAAGAATAATAGTACTTATATGTAAATAGTGATCCTTCTAGTTCTTTCTTTTTTTTTAGTCATCCAAACTGGAAACACTGAGTTTTGGAACCACCTGTTAGTTCATGTGGAGCATGCCCCACAAACATCCTTCCTGCTCTCCACAGTAGGCTAGAGTGGTGCCCAAGAGCTGCTTCCCAAAGTGCATTCACAGGCTGGATCTGAGTTGTGTCTAAAAATGGATGGGAAGAGAAATGGACATTCCCCCCTAAATTTCAATGCTCTGCACTTCTACTAAGCTTACTGGGGCAAGTGCAATATGCAGTTACTTCAAGTAACTCCCCTTCCTTTCATCCACTAATCATTTGCTTGAATAAGCAAAGACATTGGACTAGCAAGAATATTCATATGTGTGCCTTGGGGCTAGCAATTACAGAATAGATCCATCTAAAATATGCTATTCTGCTTTTTTTTTTTTTTTTTTAAAAAAAGAGTGATACCAAACGGTCTTCTTCAAACAATAAAGAAGATAAAAACCTATTGCTTCAATAATCAAGAACATTTTCTGTTTGAGGATGGCAGTATGGTCAGCTATGCTTTTGGGGTTTTCTATATTTAGGACATCCTGAATTCTTAATTGTGGGCCAACTTTCAGAAAAGATTCAGTGCAGTTTGTAAGTTTTCTAAGTTTACAAAGAAATGTGCCATCCCTTCTTTTGCACAAGCTTGTGCTATTGAAGGCTAAATCCTCACAATAAAGCCTAATAAGGGGACTAATAAAGTAAAATGATGGTGTTGCTACTAATTCATATTCCATACATCTGATACAGAGGAATTGGTGGTAAGGGATAAATAACATATATCCTGGGCATATGAATTCAACTTAAAGAGTTTTCTTAGGTCACAGCCGCCTATGAATATGGGTTTCAAAACAAACATAAAGCCTTAACTTAGAATTTCATTGTTTTAGAATTGTCACTGCCTTAATGTTTAAACATCTATTTAAATCCTCCTAAGAAAGGAGAAATGCATGTTTGTTTATGGCTTTTTGTAAATATAAATGCAGTGATTTATGGCTTTAAAAAAATATTTTGTTTCTGTGACAATATTTGTTAATACAGCCAATAGTTATTTGCAGAAAACTGGAGCATGTAATAGTTCTTCATGTACAAGTAAGAACTATTTCCCTGAGAACCTTAGTTATTTGAATTGTTCTAAGATTATTTGTAAAATCTGAAAATTAGTGATTAAAGAGAAGTGAGAATTCTACTGGTTGGTTGTTTTTTGTGAATTTTTTAATCTGTTTGTTGCCTTAACTTTTCACAGACTCAACATCTGAAAGTCATATGATGAAATGACTGTGCCTACTTTTTTTCATTGTTGTTTTACCTTTGTTCATGAAGAGATGCTAACAATTTTCCTAGTAGAAAATGAAAACAGTCCATTAACCGAAGTTTCTATTTTGATTTAGATAAAAAATAGAAACTTTAGGATTTAACTTTTTGGAAAATTTACTCAAAGGAAATTAATCCAATTCATGCATTTGCCAAATGCTACCATTTTATAATCGAGTGACTTTTATCTTTGTAAATAATGTAGCTCTGATTTAAGCACAAAAATAAGGGACAGTATATGAGTAGTTTTGGGCTTAGTCACTAATTTGCAGGATATCCAAATGAATGTGTTTCTGATTCCCTTGGGCTAAAGAGAAAACTAGAAAAATGTAACAGTTCTCTGAAAGATGCTCAGTTCCATTTGCAGCTACTTTGGATCTGAAGAAAATGAACAGCATTAGTCTAGTTAGGAAGTTGTTTCATTAAGAGTAGCAAATAAGGTGATGTTTTCACTTAACCCTTGATGGCCTCAATTTTAGAATGTTTCTCTAATTCTAGAACAAACCTCTATCTAATATTGACTCCAGGAGCACTTCCAAACCAAAACCAATTGCCATCGAGTTGATTCTGACTCACAGAGACCCTAGAGGACAGAGTAGAACTGCACCATAGGGTTTCCAAGGCTGTAAATCTTTACGGAAGCAGACTGCCACATATTTCTCCCAAGGAGCAGCTGGTGGGTTTCAACCGCCAACCATTTGGTTAGCAGCCAAGTGCTTTAACCACTGCGCCACCAAGGATCCTTCCAGGGGCGCTTACTATCTGGTATATTTAAGGTATTGCTTCTTAAACTTTTCCTCTGAAGGTCTTTAAAGACAAGAATGAACATGTAACTATGAAGGATTTAGGGATAAAGACTTTGAAGTCTCAAGTATTTATTTTTTACATCCATTTTTTTCATATCATTTTTTATACGCAGTTTTATTTTTCTTGTATCTCACATATGTTTGTATGTGCTTTCGTCTGGCAGTGTTTTAAAGTGCCATTGATTGACTGCAGCACTCTAGGAGAGGACAGCATGTTGAACTTTCGGTTTCATATCTCTGGCACACTCACATACTCCCAACATCTAAAACACCTGAATTTTAATCTAGTTTCTTCAGCAAGGTGTTGGCTAGTAGAATGTTCTTACAGCCAAGAAGATAACCAAATACCACTGCTTTGCAATGTTTAATTTCAAAAGAGTCTCTCGGTTGTCTGAAACGTATTTATTAGCAGACACACTGATACATTAGTTTGCATATCCAGAGGCAGGCTGAAGAACAAATGGAGATGATTATCAGGTTGTCAGTGTTCTCAAACTTAACATGTGGGCATTACACTTAAAAATACGCATGTTTGAAAGGAGCAAATGCCCAAACTATATGAATGAATGAAAGCAGCACTGTCTATAGTACTCATACTGGAAGAGTACCAATGTTCATTCAGCTCTTTCAACAAACATCAGAAAAAACTAACTGCAAATTTTATATTGCATGACAAATAACAAAATAAACACATTTATAACTTTGTTCTAAATCCACAAATTCCAAAATAATGAAATGTGGCCTATGAGAAACTTACTGCCGTGACCCTTCCATTAACTTTTGTTATCTTACTCTGGAGCAAATGAGTATTATGACATAAGGCTGAAAGAGACAAGTGATACTCTTTGTAGTTTATCGATGAAATAGTCAAATATTTCTGAAAAGGAAAAACTCTTTGAAATGCCATCTACCTCCATGGTGACTTTGTTATTCGCAAAAGTACCTATGTTACCTCATTGTAAACAGTATCTTTTTTTTTTTTTTTTTTGCCTTAAAGGAGTGAGCTTATTGGCATGGTATGTGTAAATAAGACCTTGTTCCAAGCTTTCCATTTTCTCACTGCTTCTGCTTGCAGCTTTCTACTCTCTCTGGTGATCCACTGCTTCTTCCATGTCCTGGGTGAAATATTTGGTTGGTTTTATAACTGCATCCCAAACATATTTCTGCTTAGGAATGAATTTGAAATTGATCCCTCTCCTACTTTATCTTCTTTTTCCTGTGCTGTAACGAGAAATTTAGTGACTTCAGAAAATGCAGAGCCTGTCCTACAGTGAGAATTTGGCAGAAGTGTATCTGAGTTAACTTATCACCAAAGGATATTTACCCATAAAACTGTCCCCAATAGTTCTTTATTTTAAAAAGTATGCCTATAAAATTAAGATTTTTTTACTATTTTGAGAAACCATCCAAACTCTGGAAAACTGCTTTAGGAATTATTCGCTCTATATTGTCTTATTTCAGTTTATGGAAAAAAATTTTGGTCTGCTATATTTGAGAATATAGTGCTATTAAAGGATTGCAAGCTGATAATTTTTTTTTTGTTTTGCACCTTCTTTTTTGTTAAGGATGTGGTATATTTTAAAATCATTTAAATCACTTTTCTGTAACAAGGCCTAACTAGTATCTGAACAATAAGAACTCAGATTTAAAGTTCTCTAAATATCTACCATAATGATAAGTATTTTCCTGACATCCTATTTTCCTGGAATTGAATTAGAGAAATCAGTCCTGGGATTTGAGTGAATAGCTAAAGAAACTAAGCCTTTACACAATCATGAACACAGTATCAGAACCTATGGTATTTATCCCAAACTAAACGTGAGACTTCTCTTTTCTTAAGATCACTTGCCAGATAAAACAAACGACCATGATTAACAGCTCTTTCACATTTAGAGCCTGGCAGAATAATACCCTCTTGTGGTGCTGAAAATAAGAAACTAGTTTATAGTATGTTTTCAAGTTACCTGTCCTTACTCTTTAATAAGCAGAGAAATTGTTTCATTTTAAAAGATACACAGGGAGGAAAGGTTTGTAGTTTGAGCTAAATGGGGAAAAAAAGCAATTTTAATATATACATATATGGTATTTGCCAGTGGTTACTAAGGTGTGCCATACATCATGTTGTCTGCCTCTTAACGTTTACACCAGTTTATCACAAGCAGTAAATGTGGGAAAGAGCATACTGCTTAAAACGTTAGAGAATTCTGAATAATGGCACCAAATATAAACACAAGACACTAATCTTAGAATTATCTTGAAAACTTTGCCAAAACAATAATGCACATTTTCCATATGGAGGGATAAGAGATGCCAACAGCTCTTCCTGGCTCTGATGAGTGGGCCTACTATTACTGCTAGAGAGACTCTTGGAAGGAGTCCCTGGGTGATGCAAATGGTCAAGGCGCTCAGCTGCTATCAGAACTCTGAGCAGGGCTCAGCCTGGTAATCAAGAGTATGTATGGCGTTGAATCTGCTCCTGGATCCAGTGGTCCCAGTTTGACCACAGACAGTAGGAGTGCCCCTGCTGTGCCAGGCCAGGACTGTCCTGGTCTTCCAGTGGTCTAGGCCACAGAGGCCCCTCTGTCTCTGACCTCCCTGGCCTGTTAGTAAGTAGCCTAAACCATAGCATCAAGGCTGCACTGGCCCCAAGCCCCACACAAAATGTTCCCCAGGAGGGGCCTCTAGCCTTGTAGCTTTGCCTGCTGGGCCAGCTGCAGGTCCCAGAGTGAAATGAGCCGCTCCCTCTGAGTTAATGAAGTTTCAGAACTTAGAGAAAATCTGTAGATTTGACTAGAGGTTCAAATTGTTTTATAGCATGGCCTTTGAAGTACAGGTAAATTTTACAACTGGGGCAAAATCGAGAATAAAAAGAATAAAGCTAAAAATTAGGGAAAGTCTCCTGGAGTAGCCAAAGTCCTATTACTTATCATAGGGTTTCCAAGGAGCAGCTGGTGGATTCGAATTGCCCACCTTTTGGTTAGCAGCCTGGGCTCTTAACCACTGAGCCACCAGGGAGGGCTCCTGTCCAAACGTAGCCAGGCCTTATTCTGATTTAAAGACTTCCATTTGCCCTTTAAAACTTCATCATCTCTCTGTAAGGTCTACACTCTGTCTGTCTAGAAGGTTCCCAGACTCTCCCCTGGTTCACCTCGACCCTCAGCAGCTTTCCCAGGCCTCACATGGCCTCACCCAGTGGGTGACCTCAGGCACTGTGCGAGCACTGTTGCATGCGACCAAAATTCTTCTTGTGATTTTTAAGGGTTCAAGACAAACAGGAGTTTGGGAAGATTTACTAACAAGAGATCCAGAAA